TTCCGATCATGTACTGCTTTGCGGATCTGAACGTACACCTTTCTGCTTCAGAAAGCTGTATGCATCTGTGTTGTTATTCCGTAATGTGAACACTGAGATTAATATGGTTGTTGTGGAATACTTTGGATTTCTGATGGACTTCTAGACAGCTTCATGCCAGGGTACGCAGAGCTTACTGGCAGGTACACTGTGCAAATGAATGGGAATATCTGCATTCACTGGAGACAAGAAGAGGCCAACAGCCCCTTGTAGGACTGTAGCTGATATCTGCAGGTTTCCCTGCATGATGCTGTGTTCAAGTGTCAGATAAACCAATGCGCTAGACCAAGGCTTGTTTAGGCCTCCAGACACGATCTCAGAAACGGAAAAAAGTATTCCCAGTTCACTTGGGTAAACAACTGTATCAGAAATGGGTTTAGGAGTAGGGAGGAGCTGGTAATAGAGTAAGCAGCAAAGAATGTACTTTTTAGAGGTCTGAAGAGGCTTAGCAGCGGTCGCCCTGTTAGGCTTTGAAAAGACTATAAAAACAAATGTAAGTAAGTAGAGAAAAAATTAAGTAGAGGCATTTTGGAATGAGGATAGGACCAAGAATAATCCTAGGTGCAGCCCTGGAAGTAAATGGATGTTTCCCCTCATCTTTTAATGAGGATGATGTCATCAGACACAGAAAGTATGGAAATGTGAACTATTCTATCCAAGATGAAACTTAAACTAAAAATAGCAAGTCCACTTAAGCGAAGGGAGCAGAAAATCTCAGAGTTATGAGAGAACTGAAGCATGAAGATGAGGTTCAATACCTTGGGCTTCTCATAAATCTGCTGAACAGGTATCATATGATAAGGCTGCAACAGATGTGTTTACATGTATGGTCTGAGCTACTGCACTTATTAAGACAATGCAAGACAAGAGGTAATTTGAAAGGCAAAAACTAGAAATGTGCTTATGAAGTTTTTTGATAAAAAATTGAGAAACATTAGGAATTCAGAGAAAGAATGTCATTTTTTGTGGAAAGAATTGGAAAGCCTTCAGATCTAGCGTAGTAGAAATAAGATGAAATATGAAGTGCATCATCAGAAACTTAGGGAGTAATAAGAAATTATGCGATGGGTTGGAAGCCTGTCTTTGGAAGTTGTAAGGAACGCAAATCACTGTAAAAAAGGAATACCTGCTCTTTTTTACCCGCAACAAACAGAATAAGTAAGATGAGGGAGAGACGTTCCCTAAAGATTTATGAAAATATCAATTTGTCTAGAAGCTTTATCCAACTATATTTTTGTTCTGCAGTTAGAACTTGTTTGCTAAAGGGTGAGGAAGCAGAGTGGCACTGCTAGAAAAGCACATGGCCACTAGTCCTGCACCCACTTTTGTCTAGTGCTGCCTTGATGATGTGGTGTGTGAAAAGAACTGTCTTTTTGAGGTAACTGCTACAAGTGCCCGAAGTCCTCACTAATGGACTAGTCTGTTGGTTTTAGTAATGAATACAGTCTGTTTCCAGCAGGGAGGACCATACATTTGTAAGAAATACAAGAAAATAACTAGGAATGTGAATAAATAAGAATTAATTCTTTTTTCTAATGGGAGTTTTTAGAAAAAGCAATTCTCTTTGTTTTTTTGTCTTTCAGCCATGGAAGAGTTAATAGTTGAGCTGCGCCTGTTTCTTGAACTTCTGGACCATGAATATCTAACTTCCACTGTCAGGGAGAAGAAGGCAGTAATAACTAACATTCTCCTGAGGATACAGTCATCAAAAGGTCAGTGGCAGGGGTGGGTTTTCTCACTTGCAGACTGCACAGAATAAATCTGTGCTCAGTGAATTAGCTTTAAGGGCTAAAGACAAGCCCTAAATTGAAGCAAGACAGAAAGACAGGGTGAAGCCAAAATATAACTTTCCTGAATGCTTTCCTTCATATTCAGCAATAAAATATAGCAAAAGGCATACTGGAAGTATCTTGGGTGCACATGGGTGAATCCAGCCACAAAATTACGTGCTAGATGATAGAATGTTTTCACTTCTCCTGATATAGTGGTTACTTCATTTTATTTGTGGCAGCTACGCTATTTATGAGTTTTGATTGAAAAGTAATACTGCGTCAGGGAGTGCTGGCCACAGCGCCATTTTATAGGTGAGTGGGTGCTGCATCTCTGTCAAATGACCCAAATCCATCAGAAGGCTTGATATTGAGTTGGTGCATGGCTGATACAAGAGTGCCAAGCCAGAGCTAGGAGATGGCTGTCAGCATGTTTGGTTTGCATTTTGCAATTAGAGTAATATTTACTTATCCCTTTTCTTCCTATCTAAAACTATTTTGATTGTGCAATCGCCTTTGTCTCCATCAAGATTATGGACCTGAATGCAATATAAATGCTTCACTCTGTACAGCAACATTTCCACAGACTTTATACAAAGAATATTTCTCACTATTTTTTTCAAACCATACTCTCATATTTCCATACAGCACCTTTCTGTATAAAGTGGCATCTGGCTGTAAGACCTCTGTCTCTCCTACATTTGACAGAAATGCTGTCAGTGTAAACCCTCAGTGTTTAGATTCTTGAAAAATACCAGAGCATGTTGAAGAAAAATGCCACATTGTGAGCAGCTGCATTTCTCATGATTTGTTTCTTCTCCAGTGCTAAAAAAATATGGTCTCATTTGATGCAGTCTTTTCCCCCCTTCAGTAATCATTTTTGTGACAGGATTCAAGTCCAAGGAGACCAACTTGAAAATAACAATAATCCTCCTTTCCGTTTTGACATTCCTAAAGACCCATCACTGTTTTTACTTTACCACTGAGAGAAGGAGGCAGGTACCTATTGTGGAAGGAAGCTTCATGCTCCAAAAGCCGATCAAAATACACCAGACTCCCAAACTCAAAAACTGTGGGTAGGAACCTGCAATTTGATATGTTTAGAAACAGCTACATTTTACAGAAGTTCAAAATAACCTCAACAATGCTGATCTCACACTGCATGTTCTTCTTGTAATCTTTTCAATGAGATTTATTAAGAAAAACATTTGACTTCCTCAAGAAGTTGGACAACATTCTGTTGCCAACTTTGCAAACACAGGGAAGAGTTGTCATATTCCTTCCTTCTGGATTGTGAATGGTGTTTCAGGATGCAAAAGCTACAGCTCTACTAGTAAATTAAACTGTGCTGGCTAAGTTTCTGGACCCTGGAACTCAGTTATTTATGCTGTTAAATTACGTAGTGGTCCTTGGCATGGGTTTGACCTGAGCTGACTCATCTCTTCCATCAGTTCCTAGGCGTGATTTGGGAGGTAGCGTGGGCAAAGATCTGTTCCCAACAGACACTTCAAAATCATCACCCTCCAGCTTGGTTTTGAGGGGTGAGAGATTTTAACCATATGGATATAGATTTCTCTGTACCAGAGCACCTTCCCACGCATGTTTAATTTATGACTATAGATGTGGCCAAGGATAAAGAGACCCAAGGATCATAGCTTTCTGCCTTTCAGCATCTACACTTTAGGTTTTAAGGCCTATTACAGGATCTATAGCAAAATCCATTACATCCTATTACAGGATCCATCCATTAACAAGATCCATATGAGATCCATATATTAGAAGTGATGGACCTTGGTTCAGTGCAGTTGTTACTGAAATGTTATACCCACTTCTAGCACCTACATTCAAGGAGGTAAAATTTAGACATTTCAAAGAATAGTCATAAAAGCGATTAATCCGGAAATATGCCTTCAAACTATCCAAAATGAGTTATCATAATGAAACTTGATGTAGGAAAGGAATGACGGAGAATGAGCTCTTAGACTTACACAGCAAAAAGCAGTGTGCAATGGAGGAATGTTTGTTTCAAAGTGGAAATAAAGCACATGTTTTGAGCATTGAAGCTATGAACTAATGGAAGAACTTCGTAAGGTCTGCATGCCATCGCTGGCATTTTATCAAGATAGAATATTTTGCTAAAAGTTATGCTCTAGTTCAAACAAGAATTAATTAAAGGAAAACCCATAGTTCCGTTAGGCAAAAGGTCATAGGACTATGCTTTATATGTCTATAAACTCTGCTTTACGGAGCTGCAGTTTAAATAAGAATTTAAGCCAGCATGGCCTCTAAAAAAAAGCATCCTGTTGCTCTCCCCAGGCTACTCATTCTTGCTCATCATGTGTTGCACCTTCCTTTCTGCTAGCACAAGCATTATTTGCTTTTCATTTTTTTGCTGGTTTAGTCCTAACCAGTGTCACTACCCTGGTCTGGTTCAACCTGAGGCCGCACACATGCTTACGCTGGCACAGAGGAGAGGTTGGTGCAGGGACAGGAACAAGGCAGGGAAGGAGAGGAGCTGCCTCCTTGGGAGCTCTGCCATCCTCTGCTGGCTTCGAGCGTGTGTGAAACTACCCGGGGAGTCATGTACTTTACTGGAGCTGACTCTGCTGCTTTTTTTATCAGTTATAACATTCAGTACTCCCATCCCTTTGAAACTATTCATCTCTTCATTAAAATTAAAAGCAATAGAAGTTGCATAAACCCACAGTACTCTGTAACTGAGCTGAACTGTCATTCGGAGTCTGTTTTTCAAAATGTTGTTTTACTCCACCCACATCACTCCATGAGAGTTCTTGGGTCGCTGGCACAGTTTAAGAGGCCTGAGGACTATGCTGAGTTCAGACTCATCATATGCATTTGCAAAAATCAACTGTGTGAATCCAACAGGATATTTCAATTGCTGGAGCAAACCATTTAAGATCAACGGTAATGAAGGATCTGTGCAACTGGGAACTGGCTGGGTTCTTTACAACATCTGGAAATGGAGAATTGTGTTTTGCTTTGTAAAGGTGTGGAAATTATTGTAATGGGCTGGTTGGCTTTTAGTAAAACACTTTAAACTCAGTAAGTTCTTACTTGGGGAATTCTTTAGAAATCTTTTGCCTTGTTTTGTTACATCTCCCAAATGCACACTGTTTTCTCCATTTAATATCTATCAAGCAGAGAGAACTGGACCAGGCAGATGTATTCTTTAGGTCGTAGCTGCTTGACCTTGACATGCCCCACATCCAAACCAGTGGTTACTCTGAATAGTTGGCAAAACTATAAATTTTATTTTTCTTCCTGAGCCTTGGCATGCCCAATGGATTGTAGGTCTGAAAAAAATACTTGGCATTTCCTTCTGAAACTCAGACTTTCTTCTGAAAAACAAAGACACAAACAGTTTATTTTGGAGTAAGAACTGTTGGTGGATTTTGTCATTTAATATGACTGTCAACACTGCTGTTTTCCTTAAAGGGACCTGATGCCGTAAATGTATAATGCTGACTTTGCTGTGTAATTTGGTAGAAGAAAATAAATGTTAGAGCAGGTTCTTGCTTAAATACACATAGTTTAAAACTGGAGAAAAACTAGTTTTAAAGAGTCAATAGAATTAGCTTGGAATATATTTTTTTTTTTTTTTTTTTTGTCAGTAAAAAGGCCTTCACATTGCCTTTTGGTTGTTATGGAAAGCATGGGAGACTTGGATATGGACAGCAGTCATAATACGGATTCATCCTACATATAGAGGAACAAGTGAAAGTTATACTGAAAAAAAATAATTGGAGTGTTTCCCAAGGCTAATCCCCCTCTTGATTTGTAGGAAGAAAGAAGAATCTGTGGCCCTTAGAGCCAGTTTATTTTATCAGTGTTGTTTTTCAATCCATGACTTCACACCCAGTGGGACTGGGTTATTATGACAAAAAACATTTCATCATTGATTACATTTTTGAGAATTATATGATCTTGACCAAAAGACATCCATTTGACTGTGTAAATATATATATTAAAAACTAAACTAAACACTAGGAGCTAAATTCAGTTTAGGAGTAAGCAGGGTACAATCCATTGACTGAATTTTTGCCAGAACATTGAGGAGATGCACCCTAATCTCCCTTTTGATATTTAGAAAAATAAACGATATCATGTTCCTATGAAGTGAGTTCAACTGGGATTTAAATTATTGTGCCAGAAACTCAGAACAAATGGGTCACTCCTCTTTTTCTCTGGGAGAGAGATGCAATAGTTACACAAAGGACCCTCAAAACAGCTTTTACATTCGGCTCCTTTTTCCATTTCAAATTCACCTGGAAAACTATAGGATTATTCAAAAAAAAAAAGAAGAGAGGAAGATGGAAATGGTGGGAAAACATGCTCAGTGTGCAGTGTTGTTAGTGGTGAGCTGGTTTGGGCAATGTGCCCCCAGCAGCAGCGTGCTCTGGGCTGGGATGTCGTAGCATCCTGCATCTCCCCAGGCTTGTGCAGACTCGCACTGGGGCTCCATGATCAGAGGCGGTGGGGGCAGCTGGGACCCCAGGGAACACGGGTGCTGTGGGCTTGGCTGAATAGCTGTCACCACTGTGGCAGGGGAGGGAGAGAGGCAGGTCTCTTCTTCTGCCCTCTTCCCCACTCTTTTGGCATGAAAGGTGGTTTTGGACTCATTTCTGCATGATGGCTTTGCCCGTCCAAAATTGGGCCATGGGAACGACAGTTGCTTGTCTCCCCTGGTAAAAGGCAGCCAGCCACATACTGCACACAGGTTGACCATGTTTTATTCACTGTACAGTGCCATAGAGACGTTCACAAGTGTTGTATCTCCCCCCATAAATGGTTTTATCTGTAGGTAGATGCCTGGCAATGCGTTTGAATTTTAGCTGTTTAAGTCTTTCGGTTCCAGATGGATAGGCAGTTCAGAATGATTTCCTGTAAATTTTTTCTGTGTCTGGTATTTGTTGATCCAAATAGCATATATGTCATTATCATATAGAGTAAGTCTGTGTTTGTTCGGCTTGATTAAATTCCTGAATTCCCGGCATTTTTCCAGTCCTGCCTCGGTTACAGCACTTGGGAGGTAGGTTGTGCGCGGCACTGCATGCCAGATTTCAGTGTGTGACAGTCACATGTGGTGTCCAAGTGTAGAAAAAATGTCCCATTCGCATCCACCAAAGTGTTAAGTGATGTCTGTTGCTCTTCCCCAGGTTTTGAAATAAAAGAACATGTACAGAAGCAAGAAGTTGCCAACAGTTTGCCGGCGCCTCCTCAAATGCCTCTGCCAGAAATACCTCAGCAGTGGCTGGTGAGTGTTATTTCAAATATATAAATATATATAAGAGAGAATATATTTGTGATAAGCACTAACAGAAATGTTTACAAGGGGAAGGAGCCTGCAGGTCCTGGGAAATTATTCCTCTCAACTCCACTCTGGTTGAGGGAATTGGGTTCAACTTGCAGAAGAGAAGGCAAAAAATTCCCTGTTGATACAATCCCAGGAACAGGTCACCTGCAAAGACTGTGGAATTGCAGTCTTTGGTGATTTTCAAAATTCAAGTGGCAAACGCCTGAGCAACTTAACTTCAGAGGTTGACCTGCCTTGTGTTGGAGGTTGTTGTGGGACCAAGCCCACAGGTCCCAGCCAGTTTCTTACAATTTTAAGGATCAGCTTTTCCTGGAGCAAGCCTTATGAGAAGACACCCTCTTGATAGCTGAAAAATAAAAGTACAGAGTTTTAAAATGAAGGAAGAATATTTCCTTTTTTTATAACGTCTTTAGTGCCCTTCTGTGCTTGGTCTCTGGGTAGGAAATTCCCTGCAGTACAAGTAGAAGTGTATGTTCTCAGAGATGTTTATAGCAAAGATACTGTTTGAGATCTGTAATTCAATTACTCCAGTTGGGAGCAGCTGTCTTGTTACAGAATAAACTATAAACAGGTTTTAATTCTCCTCTGTTACTGACTTTACAGTAAATTTGAGGAAAATATTTTCAGCATTTTTTTAAAGAAGTGTAAGCAAACCACAGTTTAGCCTGTTGAAAGGTGAACACGGTCTTAGCCTTAATACTGATAAATTATCCATCTTTTTATTCATTTGTGTAAAACTTTGTGCATGGGGATAAGGACAATCCGTGGAGATGTGCATTCATTGGCTGAAGCAGGAAATACAGATGCAGCTTACAGGGGCAGAACAACTGGATGACTGATGTTCTGCTTCATTTTAGTGTGTTACTCTGTCACCGCATTTATGCCCAGTTCTAAGAGATATATAAGCCAATAGCATCTTATGAACAAAAGAACTGATTTATCAGATCAAACTTTTGGCCAGCCTCTCATAATAACCTTTATTTGGCGGTGAATAATGCTGTGTACTGCAGAACAAAGTAAAAAAAACCCAACAAACATGTATTAAGTAGAATACCTTAATCGTAGTTTCTCCCTAAGTGCTGCCAACTTTTGGTTTGTGACCTGAACAGGATTATTGTGGGTTTTTTTTAATTTTAATTCTACCTAATGTAATGAGATATGCTGGAATCACTATAGGAAGGGAATGTTTATGCTAGAAACATTTCTATCCAGAGCTGGTATATATACTGTAGCAAAATTTGACTAAAAAGGATGTTATAAAATAATTATGCAAGATTTGAATGGATGCAAAAGTAATCATTAATATGCACTGCAACCTGGAGAATCCATTTCATGGTTAACAGGGCCTGAAAATGATTATTTTTCTTTAATTCACGATGCATCTAGCATAAATTACAAAGAAGGGGTTGATGAGAGGCAGGAAAATTATGGAAAATGCACAAGCCTTTGAAATGCAGAATTCAGGTGCTAGCTTCATAAACTGAAGCCAATTGAGATCCTCGTTCTTTCATATTTATATAGGTTCAGTTTAATAAATTGGCTCTGAAGATTCAAGTTGTTTTTCTAAAGACAATTGACCTACTTTTCCTTTCTCATACACTAATGTGTAAATTCCCTTAAAGTTGGTACAGCTGCAGAGAGTGAAACGGTGTGAAGTATGAATTAGGTCCAGGAGGTCAACACTGGTTTTTGGAGTAGCTCAGTTGGGATTTTGGAGTAACAAAAATATTTCTCTGAGATACAGTGGGAATTACCGTCAAAGTTGACACAGTTAGAGCTGGCTGGTGTGGAGCGCGGTCTTCCAGTTTTGAGCCTGGCAAAGTGCAGTTTGAACATGAAAGTGCAGCCCTCCCCTCTGACCTGCCCATAACGCTGCAGACGCTTTCATCTCGGTGAAGTCACCAAGCTGACCTGGTGTTTCCATAGTGGCAGAAGCTGACTTTTGCTAGTTTTTCTGCAATTCTGTTGCTGCTGTCAGGCAGTGGTGGTTTTCACCTCCCTTTCTGGTGTCAGTGCCACTTTGAGATCAGCCAGGAAATGTCCCAGGCCTCTCTTTGTCTTGCATTATCCAAATACAGGTTATGAGTAGTGCTATTTTAAGATGGTAGCACGTAGTAATTTGTGAAAAAGATGACAGACTGCTGCTGTCCTGCAAAAGACCAGGTGGCGTCAGAAGGGAAGGAAAAAACCATCAGCGTCTTGACCTTTGAACGCCAGGGCAAGCTCAAGCCCTGCTCTGACAAGTCAGGTTGAACTAATGGAATTGATAATTAGCCGTTTTCTGGAAACCTTTCTCAATTAGATGCGTCTTTGTTAGCCCCTCATAATTATTAGATATGATCAGAGACACTCATATTATCTTTCTTTTTACACCAGCCTGGACATCAGTGACAGTGGCTAAGATGTAATTTTCCCTTCCATTAATGCTCCTGCGTGGTGATTTTCCATCTACCCTTAATCAATGGACTCCTAAAAATTTGTATCTGATGATGGCAGTCTGTACATAATTATGTCGCTCAGTGACACAAATATTGAGCTGCCTTTCCTAGCCACTTTTCACAGACCAGGCTTTCCCAGTCGAGTGGAAAAAATCCCCTGGGCCCACCAGAAGCGAGGAAATTCTGCTCCAGGTTGCCCTTCTTCACATGGCAAGTTGGAAATCATGTTATATGGCACCTCTTTTTGTCAGCCGTTCAGGAGAGAAACTTTTTCCACTTGCTGAATAACATCTAGTGGTGGGTTCAGGCTCCAGTGGAAACACAATGTGCTGCTGGAACACAGGACTTTACTGGAAGTGGGAATCAATAACTTTAAATAAACTCTGCACTGTTTTAAAATCTATGGTTTTAGCACATCAGTTATTGAGCATGGTGGAAATTAAAGTTTCATTTACACTGCTGTTTCTTTTTATGGCACTCAAGGGATTCTACAGTCAAAAAATGTTTAGTCTGAATTGATGTTTAAGCTTTTACTTCTGTAAAGATGTGTGGGTGGGAAGGAATTCAATACTCCTTAAAGTAGTGCCAGGAGCCAGAATTATGTGTGGGCAGGTGCTGTGCAAGGTTGCCTTTGTAAATCTGTAAACAGACCTGCATATTTGCTCAGGCCAAATCTTGTATCAGTTTTGTTATTCATCAGCCCATGAACAAAGAGTATAAAATTCATTTTATTTAGAGACATGCTGTTAATAGTTTAAATGAAGTCTCCAGTTATTAAAACACACTAAAGCCCAGAGAGTTTTCCTGGACTCGGTGGGCTTTGACCAGGTCTTAAAATCAAGGTGCAAAGTTGGACCTTGCATGTACTTGAATAAAGCGAATCACTAAGCACACAATCTCTGAGTAATTCTCTTTTTCTGTATACATTCCCTTGCCTACATCTGGTCTAGCAGACTTTCTGTCAGGCTTAGAAAGCACAAATCCTCACTTGCTTTAGCCTGTGCGCACAGCTCCTTCAGATGGCCAGCAAAGTAAAAGCTGCAGATACTCTCTCTCTCTCTGCAGATGAGAGCTTAAGGACAGTCCCACAGAACTGAAACACCATTGCCTGGGAGCACTAGGATTCCTTGCTAGCGTGAATACAGTGCCAGCAGGTAGGGAAGCTTTGCCTGGGTCAGCAGCAGGGGAGGAGGTCACTGTGTTTGAAATAGTTATATGGGTTTACCCCTCTTGAACATGCTTGCTGCGAGGGCTTGTGTCTTTTAGCCTGCCTTCTCCATCTCTACATCAGCAGCTACTTTTATGATATTTCTCTGCACTTGACAGGCAAGAAGCAGTGCTTGATGATGGGTTTGGAGGACTAACAGAGGCAATGCTCTTTGTGTACCTCACGGTGCTGCTGGTGGTTTAACACCTGGGATCCCATCATTGCACTGTCACCAAGTTGCCTTGAAGTACATTTTCCACTGAGGCAATAGAATAAAATCCAGTGTGTCCTGCTGCTCAGATGCGCCTGAGGATTACTGGCATAAATTATCCACAGCACGACAGTGACAGAATACTTCTAGCCTTCAAGCATTTGGTTGTCATATTACATCTGACAGTCAGTGATCTCAGTGCACTGTGCAGTCCAACAAAATCAAATACAAACAGCACACTTAGCTATTTTGCATGATTTTCACAATAAAATTGAGTATCTGTTTTATTTTTCTTGGAATATTGACAATTTAATAATTATTGAACCGCAACAAGTGTCCAGCAAGATGCCAGAACCCCTGCAGATATAAATCAAAAGGATAGGTCATCTTCTTCCAACCCTTTCCTGCAACGTACACAGTCACTCTGTAGGAGTGTTTCATATAACCGGGTTTCCTATTGTGGAGAAGCAATTTGACAGCCTCCCTTTATCTGGCTGCCTGTCAGGTATACTCTCAGATATTTATTAGAAAACGGTGAAAGGAGACAGTGTCCTTGGGGAAGAAAAAAATCATCCTGAAATCAAAAGGATTTTTAAGGTGATACATCACCAATTACATTAATCATTCTTTGAAGAACAACCAAAACAGTGCCAGTCTTAAAGACTTTTCTAAAATGTGCAGTCAGGCTAGCGCCATAACAAAAGCAAGGAGCTTATGTGCCGGGTGGGTATTTATGAGTCTTTGTTTCATCTTGCTTTTTCTTCTAATACTGAAAAGCAGTTGTTATTCTCTGTTCTTCTTAAAAGATAATCTTAAGATAGTATTAGCCTTGGAGTTTTTCTCCTTGCAGAAAATTTTTAAAAGCCACAAAAATAAATTCAACAAAAATGCAGTTGTTTCATTCAGAGCTGGCTTATAGCTTCAGTTTGAATAAAGCTCAACAAGTTCTTCCATAATGAAGGAACAACTAAAGGAGCCTTTTTGATTATTCAGTGCAGTCACTCTTACTACAGGGAATTATAAATTATTAACCCTTTCAGAAACTTACCAAAATGTATTTACTAGCACTTAGATTTCTTTAATC